GATAAAGTACAAACTGTCGTGGGCGGCAAGACGTATGAGGGACGTCCAATCAAAGGCGTCAAGGTTTCCTTTAAACCCAACAATCCTGGAATATTTATCGAGGGTGGCATTCATGCCAGGGAATGGATCTCGCCGGCAACTGTCATGTACATCCTTCATCAATTGCTGACAAGCAACAATCCGGAGGTCAGAGCTCTGGCTGAGAGCCATGATTGGTATATCTTCCCATCGTTCAATCCTGATGGATACGTGTACACGCACACCATGGTAAGCTTCGTTTTATAATATTACATTGAGCATTGTTTATTAATTTATAATGTAAAAATTAATTACTCAAACATTTTAAATTTATTAAATTTTAGGACCGATTTTGGAGGAAATCACGTAAGCCGAACACGAATGGCACCTGTTATGGCACCGATCTTAATAGAAACTGGGATTACAAATGGAATAGTAAGAATTTATGTTATGTTAGATAATTGTACTAGTTAATAGTCAAGGATTGAATAAAATTTAATAAAATGTCAAAATTATTTTGTGGTTTTTGAAGAGTTTATGAATTTAAGATCAGTTCGATGTTTCTTAATGTTATTTATACACATTTTTCTAATTTGATTTTTTCAGCTAATAGCATATATAATTCTTCGTGCTCCCATTATGCTGGAAGCGCGCCACTCTCTGAAATAGAAACAAAAAGCATGTCTGAATATATCAGATCTATTTCTCACAAATTCTATGCATACATTTCATTTCATAGCTATTCACAATTATTGCTATTTCCTTATGGCTACACAAAAGTTCACATTCAGAATTATGAAGATTTGGTGAGTAATTTTAATGTGTAACAACATATAGTTCTTGTAAAATTATGAAAATAACATTATAAATTGAAATTGTGCAACTTAATATACCTATTAAAATTAAATAAAAGTTGTCAACTAATTAATTATTGATAAAGAAGCATCCAAAAACTGTCTCCCTGTCTCATTAGTATAATTGATTCGATTTTTATGAATCATGTTTAAAATACTCAAAATTAATAATTTTATTAATAAATATTTTATTAATGACGTTAATTATTACGTAACAATATTTATATAGTCTTTATGATTTCAGTATACTATTGGCTCGAAATCGATTACAGCTCTCAAAAAAAAATATGGAACCGAATATCAGATTGGAAGTATTGCCGAGACATTTTGTAAGTAGAGAAACTTTTATTCATTTTACTTCACGTTTTTCTCTCTCTCTCTCTCTTTCTCTCTCTCTCTTTTATTTAATATATTCTTAAGCAGTTTTTAGTTATGTGATTTACTATAATTAATAATTTACTTTTTCTTTATTAGTTTAAAGATATAATCTGCTAATCTCATGTTGTTGCATTGCGATATTAAAATAATTAATTAATTATAAATATTATTTTTTAAATTTTATTCTTGAAACATTTTATTCTTGTAATATCACTTGTAGATATGGCCAGTGGAACTAGTGTGGATTATATCAAAGGCATCTATGATAAACCTATCGTGTATGTCTACGAATTGCGTGATCAAGGTCATTATTATGGCTATTTGTTGCCACCTGAACAGATTATTCCGACTGGAGAAGAAACTTTAGATTCTCTTGTAGCTATGTTTAAAGCGGCAAAGGCACTTGGGTATCCCAAAAATAATTCAAGTAGATTAAATTTTTTGCATATACTTTTGTATATCAAGTTGTTTTATTTAATACATTTTTATTAGATTAATTTTAATCATATTGTTCCGACTAGAGAAGAGAATCTATGGATTTCTCTGTAGCTATATTTAAGAAGATGAGAGTATGCAAAAATGCAAAGAAAATTATTACTGATTAC